GGTAAGATCCTGCAAACCTAAACAATCCAAACCCCGATTTTATCAGCAATACACAGGACTATGCCAACTAACCGACATGTCTGTATACAATTCCCAAAACACAGTAATAGCAGCTACATAATCCATATCTGAATTCAAAACCTAACACACAAAAGGGAGGTATAAACTACTTGTGCAATCTATCAAAGAATGGCAAAAAACCAATGATATATATAGATAAAAAGCCGCTGTAAGGTAGTCTACAGAAAACAAGCCTGATTATTGTGGGAGGATATTGGAAATTTGGAGTTATACTCTCTGTATTTTTTTCAGAAAAATGAGAAAATATGAGACAAGGACTAGCAGGATTGCATGGAACGGCCATGCATCATTACAAACTTACAATTTACAACCAAGCTGGATCTTTCAGAGCAGTGACAACAGCTTTCACCTGCAGGTAGTTGTTGAGGCTATATACACTCTTCTCCCTGCCTATACCACTCATCTTGTACCCACCAAAAGGAATTGCAGCATCGAAAACATCAAAGCAGTTCACCCACACTGTCCCCGTTTTCAATGCTCGTGATAATTTGTTGGCAGTGTCAAGGTTCTGGGTGAATACTCCCGCTGCTAGGCCATACCTAGTGGTGTTTGCCCTCCGAATCACATCATCAAGGTCCCTACAACATAGTGAAGAATATAATCAGTGCTGGGGCTTTACCATGTAGATTCTTTTTTCTGGAGGAAACTAAATTGCCATATACAGTAATATTGATGTTCAAATCAGAGCTAAGATCTTAACAATCCTGCATCGATGAATGAGAAGTGCAGGAACTGATTAACAACATTTTGGAAAAATCTTAAATGTAATAGAAGAAATGTCAGGTTTACCTGAATTTCAAGATAGACTGTACTGGGCCAAATATCTCATCCTGTGCAATTAACATATCCTCCTGATACAAGAACACCAAAACTCAGAATTTCTGTGGCTAAATACTTACAATTTTTACCTAAAAAGGTTGATGCAAAGGGAGATGACTCCTTACCTGAACATTTGAAAAGACAGTGGGTTGGACAAAGAAACCTTTAGATCCAAATCTCTCACCTCCACACTCGAGTTTGGCACTGCTCTCCGTACCAGCTTTTATGTACCTCATAACTTTCTCAAATTGCTCTGTATCTATCTGCAGTTCCATATTACATTGGCAAAAAGGTAAATTTCAGCTTTAAATACTTAGTTTCCTTTTCTATGCACCTCATATTTTTCACAAATTGCTTAGCCTTAAAGGGAGCAGGACATGAATATACCTGAGGACCTTGCTCAATGCCACTCTTAAAGGGATCTCCAACAGTACGCCTATTGGCACGTTGAGTTGCTTTTTCCACAAATTCATCATACACACTCTCATGCACATAAGTTCGGGAGCCAGCACAGCAACATTGGCCCTATGATGAACACCAAAAACCAGAAGATACTATATTTCCAGCTCTTATATACAACTAATACAAAGAGGAGTGGAAATACCTGATTAAAGAAGAGAGCAAAATGTGCAAGTTCTACTGCTTTATCGACATCAGCATCCCCACATACAATGAAAGGAGATTTTCCTCCGAGCTCCAAAGTTGCTGGCTTAAGGTTGCTCTTAGCTGCTAGTTCAAGAACAGTCTGTCCAGTTTCAGTAGATCCTGTGAAAGCAATCTATAAAACAAATTCAATATGATTACAAATCATGTTCAAAAACTCTATTTGTATTATAGCTCATCATAGAATCAAGAAAAGTCATAAAGGTCAAAGAATACCTTATCGACATCCATATGACTTGCAAGTGCAGCACCGGCTGTTGGACCAAAGCCAGAAACTATATTCAACACGCCAGGAGGAAGACCAGCCTGAAAGCCAGAAATGTAGCAGGTTAGATGTTATGTAACATATTCGGTTAAGTTGTTGATAATGTTATACAAGTAATACAACGGAGTATATTGAAATTTGCAGATATGTTATACAGTGGAGTTTCTGAGATCCACAACTAGACATAGAAATTGCGTATATGAGAGATGGACACAGAAGAATGGTTAAGACATGGAAACTATGCTTGACATTAGAACAAAGTATGTAAAAGAATAATGGTAATATCTACTGCTTCTATAGTCCTATTTTACCTCGTGGAAGAGTTTCCCAACAAAGAGAGCAGTCAATGGAGTTTGCTCGGCAGTCTTTAAGACAATAGTGTTGCCACATGCCAAGGCAGGGCCAACTTTCCAAGCAAACATGATGAGAGGAAAGTTCCATGGTATGATTTGCCCGGCTACACCAATTGGTTCATGCAATGTTTGTACATGGTATGGACCATCAGCAGGTACCGTCAGACCATGAATTTTATCTGCCCAACCTACATTGTTTCCAGGACAAAATTTTCAAAATTTAAGCCGATATACCATTATATAAATAGAAATAGGATAATAAGTATGTTGCTTTTCTACCAGCATAATAGCGAAATAATCGGACAAACAATGGAAGTTCTGATTTAAAAGCCTGTTGAAAAGGCTTCCCGCTATCCCACGTCTCTAAGGCAGCAAGCTCCTCACTGTGTTTCTCAACCAAATCAGCAAATTTCAGAATGATTCGCACTCTTTCCTAAAGATATTAACAGGAAAAGTCAAAACATTGCAGCATAATGTCAAAAGAAAAACAAAAAAACTTAGGCAGAGAAATAGAGAGTTGGATGCAGGGGATATGTTACATAAGCTGTCATTTTAGGCCATGGTCCTTCATCAAAAGCTTTGCGAGCAGCAGCAACTGCACGATTGATATCTTCTGCATCACCTTCAGCAACATGCGCTATCACGTTCCCAGTGCGAGGATCATATGTAGGAAATTTCTTTCCTGAAAAAAATTAATGTGAAATTTAATACACACAAGCATATAACATATGCCAAACACTACGTAAAACCACACAGACTTGTAACGAATAAGCCAAACTAGATAAAAAGGTTACCAGATGCTGAGTCCACAAATTGTCCATTGATTAGAAGCTGTGTATGTTTAATATCCACATTAGGAATTATAGGATCTTCAATTACAGCAGCTGTGCTATATCGACTTAAGTTTCTTCCCCAGCTCGAGCCTTTACCTGAGCATAAATTATTGGTTCTTACTAAAAAAAACAGATAAACAATTACAGCTAATTGATGTTTACTACTTTACTTGGGAATAAATAAGCAAAACCATAGTTAAGCACTGTATCTGTTGAGCCCATCAGCAAACCCACATGTGAGTGAAAGTGTTGTCCCACATTAATCGACTGTAAAAGTAAGAGTGGGTATTAGGATGTGTATCCCACATTGAAGAAAAGGGAAAATTGTGTCCATTTTATAAGAGTAAGGGACTACTCCCCTCATTGTCATATGGTTTTGAGGTGGAACCTCCTTGGTCGTATAAAGCGGACACTTGTGATGGGTGTGGCCTAGGCTCGTTTATCAGTATTCTATAATGACATTTATAGTGTAAACCTACAAATTCATGGACTTTTATGCATGATTAACAATGTAGAGTAAGGATCAACATATAAAGAGCACAATATCGCTGATTTTATACAATTAAGGGAGAGTTTTCCTTGATCAACTAATTTTGACTCATTTCAAAAAAGACATGTTCAGATAAGATTAGACAACAAATGGAGCCAAAATAAGTTTGAAGTATTTCAGATAATTCAATTAAGGTGGAAGAGAACACACGCTAAATGTAGATAATAATCGTCAAAACGAGTAAAGTTAATGCCACAAGTTAGAATGGTCAAGTTATCATACAGAGTATAGCTTTCAGAAACCAGGATTATCCATTAAATCACTTGCAGAATTTCAGGCTACACTAATTTAATTAGCTCAGTAATCAGTAACTTTAATCAGCTGCGTCAATTAAACATAAAAGGAAAATAAAACCCAAATTTTTATTTTTATTTTTATTTTCCCTGCTTTTTTTGCCAAAAATTAATATCCAAATACTCCAAAGATATTGGATTATACAGTATCTTCAAAATTTTGACGTAACAGTAATCTCAAGTTTGAAAAGACTACATGAAAAATGCAAAATTTGAAAGAAAAAAGAAAAGAAACAAAGAAAGGGTACTTACTAAGAGAAGAAGACAAAGACAAAGAACGAGAAAGCAGAAGAGAAATCCTGCGAGCTGCCATGTCTGATGAATTACTATTCTCAGTGCCAATCAAGTTCTTTCGACCCAAAAACTTAGTACTCAGTAAGTAGTAGGTATTGTTCACCTATGAAGATGTGATTGTGGAGGATAACTTCTGCTTTTTCAGTCAAATCTTTTAGCTAAAAATACAAAAAGAGAAAAAATAGGAAAAAGTAAAGCTGTCTTTTTAATTTTGCAACTTGCAATGCAAAGGTGGCAGATCATGTTTGGTTTTAAGTGGTACTTAATACATTTGTTGTCATTACATGAAGTCGTCAGTCGTCACTGTTGCTAATCTCCAATAGGTAAGGAAACAAAATACGTCTAATTGTGTAGTGGTTATCGTTTATCTACTTAATTACGGAGTAACTTACAGCACACACTGTTAAAGAAAAGGAAATGACCTGAGGTGTTAGTCCTATTAGTGTACCAGTTTATTTGCCTATAGTTAATTTTCCTCCGACGGAAGTTTATTGTTTAAGCTCAATGAAGAATTTTTCAATTTGACATTTTTGTTGCGTTTTATATTCAAGGTTAGCTGGTCTTGTATGACTTGTTACGAAGAAACTTGGGTTAGCCATCAAAAACTACTTACCAAACAACTCCATAGTATTGCATTACAATGAACATTGCCATCCTAATTTTCTTGAAAAATTACATGTGGATTGAATTACCCTCTGTATTCATTTCATCAAAAATTGTAGACATACGGAGTATTTTGTTTATCAAGAAGATGAAATTGTATTTTCTCCAAATTGTAAACTCTAGTTATGACCAGTAATTCAAATTTAATTTATGAAAACCGAGAGCAACCATCTAACATCATATATGTAATAATACTGTGTGCAAACATGAAATTTTCTGAATTTAAAAATGCATTACATGAGCTAGATAATTTATCAGGCGCAAAAGAAAACATTCCACATTACTGATCTCAAACAAAATTTCGCTTTGGAATTCAAGGGGATATCTCAGATTTATGACTGAAGCAGCCTTTTGCCAAAATGGCAGTCAATGACTCCAAATACAAACCTTACTGTCTGAGAAACAATGGAACAGGAGTAATAATTTCATTTTGAAAAGCCACATCCAGTCCTCCACATTAGAATTTAACTTCATCATACTCCGAATTCAGACCCTGCACCACAGCATGGATGAAAAACCTTGTCATGATGCTTTACAGTATATGATTAGAACTGCATATAGAGTTGCATATCACATTAAGCGTTATGCAGATATGTACAAATTCATTCCCTCAGATATCCAGATGTTACAGAGCTCCTGGGGTTAGTTCTCTTTTTTCATACGAAAAAAAAAAAAATATACCCTAGCTAGTCTATCGAAACTATAAGAGTAACAGCTTGTTGAGTTTAATTTTCTGATCCAGCTACTCTATTATTAGTAACAAGGAACATGAAGATGGGATAAATCTTTTTTATTATTAACTACTACCTCTGTTACATATTATGTGCAAATTTTGAATATTTTATATCTCACAATTCACAAATAATACCCAAAAGTTGCACATAATATGTAACGGAGGTAGTATGTTCTTTTATTTTGAACTGTATTTTTATCAACCATGCAATTTAACCACTAAGTTCTTTTGTTTGCATGGTCTGTTGACTATGTTCTTTTGATGAACATGTCATTTATTTACATAATATTTTATTTATGTATGTAGCTAATGGAATATAAATATATATTTAAAATCGTATACCTAGAGCACAATGTCAAATTGTCAATGGGGCACTCGCATGTGCCTAAATCAGTTTATTCTTGAACTTCTTCTAGTCAGTTTGCACATTCAAGTATTCAACAAAACATCCTCAGTTATACCACTATTGGCACTAGGCAGTGGCTTGCCAGCTTAATTGACCAACATTCTGACCATACAGTAGTATAGTACCACGCGGTCTGAAAGCCAGTCCACAGAACTTAGTCCCTAATTAAAATTTGCCATGCAGTAAAAAAAATGCAGTTTGCATTTCCAGAGGATGATGCACGTACACTTCACTTGTAATCTCAACATAAATACATGAACAATTAACTAGTAATTTAATACGAAGTAGATTATTCTTCCCAATGATAAATTGAGCAAGTTTTTTCATATGATCCTGATGAAATGATGCATAAATTAATACAAATGTCTTAACACCTACAGATTTACACTTCAGAGTTCAGATATAGTATAATGCTTTGTCACACATAACAGTGTAGTTTTAGTGCCAAACTATAAGTGGCCCAAAACAAAGAGCACTCAATTGTGTTTGCTCAGCAGTCTTCAAGATGCCTATGTTGCCATATGGAAAGTGGCCCAAAAGCTTAATAATCCAAACAAAAATAAGATCAATAAAGTACCTTTCATTGGTTGAGCCAGCTAAGCCAAATGGTACATGCAAATGTTGCTGACAGTAGAGAAGCACGATAAGTTGTACAAAACTGCAAACATCTCTTGGCTTGACAGTTACAAAGATTGTGGCATGGCCCTGCTGAATAGAATAGTAGTTATAGACTCAGCAAAATATAAGTGGAAAAAGAAAAACTGTTAAACGGATCTAAAGTTTCTTAGAACAGCAAGGTGAATTTACCAGTAACACAACTCGCACAGCCTCCAGCATTAGGCAGCTGCATGAAAAACCAAAGTCGCTTTCATTCAAACGTCCCTCACCATTAGGAATGCCATCTCAAAGCCTGTTGAAATTTCCAACAGTAACTAAAATGAATTCCCAATAGCTTAAGATCTTCAGCTAAGAGAGAAAATGCTTCAACATTCGTAAGGCACTTGATTGATTGAGATGAGCTAGGAAGGTGCTGAATTGATGCAAAGGGAAGGGAAGCCCATGTTAGCAATTCTGAGCCACATAAGTCACCTGCTCCAAGAAAAGTGGAGTCAGAGGACCCTCCATTGAGAGAAGACATCTCTAGCTTGCCACTGAAGATGAAAAGTATCAATTTAACTGGCTCACCCTCAGTAACTATATATGTCTCTTTCAAACAGGAGAAGATTCTTAGATGTCCAATGAATGAATGCACAAGCTCATGGTCCAAGTTTGCAAAGAAAGGCAACTGGTGATATAGGGAAAAAAAAATCCAAATCATTATAAATGTAAATGAACAGCTAAGCATCACTAACCTATTGTATCATAAAGATTTTGTATTATATGCATCATTACTAGCTTGCAGAAGGGTGCAAGATAAACTAACTTCTCTTGGTGATGCTATTGCAAAAATATGGGCATATGCATAAAGGACAAGGATCAACCATGAGAGAATCTTGCTAAAGTGGGTCTGAAAAGGGAAAAATACACACTGCGTCACTGCATTATCCTGCAGTAGTACAGGAGCTCTAACCAAAAGGCTAATAGAAGTACGACAGCAATTCTAACATATACTTCCTCTGTTTTTTAAGTTGGACCCTTTATACAATCATACTTATCAAGGCATAACTTACACCATTAATATCAAAAAAATTATAATCACACTTACCAGGCACAACTTAAAAACCATTAATATATTTAGAAAATTTATGTTAAGAAAAAACTAAAAAGATCCCAAATGACTAGAAAAATGGAAAGGGTGCGGCTAGAAAAATGCAGTTTATTCACATTCAGAAATTGAAGTGACAAAGACAGCAGCAATATTACATTGCAAGCACGACCAGAATAGAGATGTCTCCGAATGTCACACTGCAAGTCCATAGGACTCAACATAGTATCATCATCTAGGCCTCTAAGACCTCTCAAGACAGAAATCAAAGCCTGTCGTAGATTCTTCTTCAGCTCTGGTGGTATCTGATGTTTTTTTGCCCATTCCTCCACCTCTCTTTGTCTTATCATATGCTGCTCTTCTCCAGGCTCCAAGGACTGAATACAAGTCTTCATAATAGAATGCCGAAAATTTTCAGGCATCAGAAATGCTAATAAAAGTCACAAAACTGATTATTAATTTACAAAAAACAAAAAAAATTAAAAAAAAAAAACAAATCCTTTTTTAGAGTTCCTTACTAGATTTTCACAATTAAATATTTAATTATAAAAACAAAACACAACAAAAAGAATTCTACCCATAAAAGGGCAAGGGTCTAATTTAGGCTTTATTCTCTTCACCTGAAATACAATGTTCTGGTGTGACTTTTCTAAAGTCTAGTCTGGTCTGAATTTTTCTGATTTAGTCTAGTCCGATTTGACTACATTTTGACCTTAATTGTACAACAATATATTAGAAAAAACATTATCAAGTGGGATCTCATTAGATTCTTCTCTACATGTATTTTCAAATATATAATTTTCATAATTTTTACAGATATGAAATCAAAAATATATGACAATATGCGAACGGAATTAAGAAGATCTGATCTAGATAATTTCTTAACTAGTCTATTCTAGTCTGATTTTAACAAGAATAAGTCATAATTAATAAGAATAAGGTGAAGATAACAAAGCCTTATATAGTCTGCACTCCAGCCCCTTCAATAACAGCAAAGATGTGTCTAGTAAACTAGCTGTATTGATTTGGCCCTATATAATCCATAGACAAAGAAAAGTACAAATATTTGACTCTTCTAGAAATGGACAAACCTTTAACATTTTAGATGTGCAACTAGTTTAAAACTACCATATGATGCATAACAAATTGTGACTTTGAACTTTTCAAAGTATACATTGATTCAACAGACCATTAACAAGTGAGTTGCATAAAAAAAACTCATATCCTGATAGGTACACAGGATAATTCATTTGCAAAGTAACATTCACAATTTTTTTTTTAATTTTTTTTTTTTTTTTTTTTTTTTTTTTGTGTGTGTGTGTGTGTGTGTGTGTGTTAAACACACAACCTTCTTAGTTTATAGACACATCTTACATAATGTGAGTACAAGTATCAATACATACTTTTGATATTAATTAATTTACCTAGTATATATTATAAATTTATAATGGGTTTAAGCCAAGTTTATATTATTTTAAGTTTAATACCCTGTTTAGCAGTAAAGAGGGAATAAAAGATGGAGTAAAAAATTTAATATACCTGGATGTAGAAAAAATTTAACATGTTAAGAGGGAAATATATTCCACTCAAAATGGGGTTAAAAGTTACCCAGGCCCCCCGAATACTGTAATTATTTCCCTCTGATTTCCATCTCTCTCTCTCTCCCCCCTATTACTCCTTTCTCCTTCATCACCAGCCCATCCTCTAGCTTCCAACACTGTCTCCCTTCCGCCACCGCCACTTCTTTCCGACATCATCTTTATTCCATTTTTTCTAAGCGTACCATTGACATGACAAATTCAATATTTTGGTGGTCGAAATTGACCCATAATTTCAGATCAACAACCTTCATGGTGGAATTCAAGAACTAAGGAATTATATCATACCTACCTTGAGAAGATTGCAACCCAATGTGAATTTTTTTCCAACACCTTTCCCAAATCTGCAATTTTTTTTTTATGGTGAGCAAGGACTTTAATGACGGTATACAAGGTGGAGGCTAGGTTTATAAGGTGGTTGGTGTAGTGTTGGCAACGGTGTAGCTCAACTAGTTCAAGCTTGTGTTTCTGAGGATAAAAGGGAAAGAACCTGTACTTAATGCCAAACCTTAAGAAAAAGAAATTTCACCCCACAATAAGTCTTCCGTTAATTTTTGCACCACTAGATTCTAATCCCCCTAATCAACTAATCCAAGCATGCCCTAAATAATATTTTTTTTATCAAGAATATAACTAAATCTACACTCATATGGGAGAGTAATATATTTGTTGAACAAAAATTACTTAAAATATCAGGGTTTATAAACTATATAACTACTTCCTCCGTTTTTTATTACTTGACCAATAGAATAGGGCATATATCAAGGAGATGTGGATAAAATAACTTAGAAGACATAACTGCTCATAGCAAAAGGATATGATGTTAGTTTATGTTAGACAGATGAGGGTAAATATGTAAAAGTGTAGGGTAAAATTTGCTAAAAAAAAAGAAACAGGTCAAGTAAAAAGAAACTTCCCAAAAAGAAATACTAGTAAGTAAAAATGAACGGAGGTAGTAATTAGTAACATAGATTTGGTCAATCTAAAAAAAAAAAAAAAAAACATAGCGGATGTAACAGGTACAAAAAAAGATATAATGAAGACTGATGCATAACTCAAAGAGAAAATCAGAATATTCATGTTTATGATTGAATTAAAGTCGAGATAATTTAAGTCACAAGATAAAACTCAAAGGTCGGAGGGCACAAGTTTGGTTGTATACTTGTATGTTTGGTTGATTCCTAAACCTTTAAGATATGAATGGCTTTAAATGGGCATTGCAAACTAAAAAGAAAAGAAAACAACCGGAATTCCCAAAAGATTAAAACTAAGAATCCTAAAATAAATTAACTTTATCCTATAAACAAATCTAAAAATCAAAGAACTCTAAGACCGAGTTTTTATCGCATGTATACAATTATAGATTGGCCTCCACTCAAACAATTTTCTTAAATACACCCCTTTGGTTGTGAAAAATCATTAATTGCTACTTATAATAAAGCTTTCTAGGGCCTGTTTAGTTCACCTTATTTTTGCTTATCTGATGTGATATGTACGCTAATAATAAGGAAAAATTATATCAAGTGGGGTCTTGTTAGATTCGAAATAATGTCTATTTTATTAATATGTAAATTTCATGATTTTTTCATTACGAAATTAAAGATAATTAAGCGATAAAGTATGTCAGAACTTATTTTTTCTAATCTGAACTTATTTTTAATCTCAAATAAGTAAAAAAATAGTCTTACTAGGGGTCCAAATGTCAAACAACAGATCTTAAAATAGATCTAAACATTCTGTCTCCTGATTCCTTTTGTTGGAGGTTGGAGGTGGAAGGATGGTGTCCTTTTGGTTTATTTGTAAAACTATCCATCACAAAGTTCACAAACGAGCTAATGCAAATATTACTATAATGCAACAGCAAAAGCAGCTACACAATATACCTACAAATATCAAGACAAACAAGCCTTAAACTCCTATATAGATTCTTCACTAAGGAGACAAAAAGCAGGATACGTGCAAGGTGCCCTAAAAGGATAGATCAACATAATATGTACTTGGCCTCTGAAAACAAGCTTATAAACCCAAACATTAGAATCATAACCTGCATCTATATTTAGTTATCAAGCAACTTACTAGTTCTAATAACACTATCACAGTATTTGATGGCAAAATGAGTATAATATTAAGCAAGACAGAAACAAAGAAACTCGGGCACAAAGTCAATTTACCTGCATCTGAGCAATCAACCCCGCAAACAGAACAAGACCAAAAATAGTCATAGAGAAACTGAAAACTGCCTCCACAATCGAAGCGCTGGTATCAAAATTCTGCCCCATAGAACTATCATCCAAACAAAATCATTTTAAACAATAAGTTAACATCTTATGCTATAGATTAAGCAAGGTTTTTTGATACATTTTTGCTGTTATATTAAGAATTTCAACCAAGTAGAGAGATATGCTTTCAACTTCCTCCACTACAATATATTTGCGTCATAGCCCCTTGGCATGCACTTTAAGGTATGACAACATTGACAAGGTAAAACAGATTAATTAAAGTAATTTTAACCTTAATATCCTATCTCATACCTCTTACCAGTGTTTGAATTTTTGTAATTAATTTTTTTGTTTGCCTTTCTTAATCTCTTACTTTAAGTGTGGCAAGGGGCTATATTGCAAGTATATAAAAATGAAGTTTTATTAAAAATTATTCAAACTTCACGAAGACAACACTCGACACCTGCCTAATAATTGTAATGCTGTCACTTTAAGGAATATGTTCAGTCAACTTAAGTGGATCAAGGCAATGAGGTATATAATATACTCTCTCCGTCACACAATACAAAGCCTGTATTCCGTTTTGGGTAAACCAAAATACAAAGCCTATTTCTGTTTAAAGATAGTACTTTTTGAGAATATTACCCTCTTTTTGATGAGTTGTCAACCTTTTTCTCTATCTTTTTTGTACTTTTGATATCAGTTCCCAACACTTTCTCTCTCCCTCTCTTCAATAATTCTCAACTACCTTTTCTTTCTCTCTATTTCTCTCTAACCCCACATGCACATATGTACTCTCAATCATTACTTTTAAGGAATCTACAATCTCCTTAATTATCGTAAAGAAACCCAAATTTGTATTGTGTGACGGAGGGAGTAATAGCTATTAAAAGACAATTTCCTGTCATTTAACTTATAAAAGAGTATTTGAAGTATCATAACAATTGCAAAAGGCAACTAAAAGGAACTGACTAATAAAATAGATAGATTGGTACATTGTACTCCATCCGTTCCATGAAGCTCTACCTAGTTTTTATTTTTCATCCATTTCATGAAGTTCTTGCTACGTTTCTGTTATTCCTTATTTGTTAGAGGTTTTTCCTCTTTCTACCTCCTTTGACTGGAATTAAAGAGAAAACTAGGCCGATGGGGCTGGATTCTTTCAGGAAAAAAAATAATAAATCATTCTTTGCAGCTCCACTCAAATCCTCATTCTTTGTATACTAGATTCTATTTACCAGTGAACAGAAGGTCCATTTTCACACTCACTCACCTCCTTTTCCTTGGTTGCTACAATAACTAGGAAGTAACAAAGAACAATGTAGAGTGGTGGGAGTATAAAGAATTAAAGAGGGAGCGAAAGGAAATGAGAAAAGGTTTTATGAATACAATTCAAGCCAAATGACAGAAAAAGAGTAAATGAATAAAATTAACTATAAAAAAGAAAAAGAAAAAAAAAATATGAGAAGTAGCCATTTGAACCATAATATATTACCAGCATGGCAGCATATAACGTACCTTAAACATTTGAGACCCCAGGAGAAGCAATACATGAATCTCTGCAGGGAAGATCTTGATCCAATTTTGTTTTTGTATATATCAGACAATATTCCATTGCCAATCTGATCATTTATGGCACACTCTTCATACAAGGCATCCCATCCAAGGATTGGCTTGTTATACTGCTTTGCAAATACTATAGCTTGGCACTCAAATAGCCGATATACGTATGAAAGATAATATGCAGCTCCCACAGACTGCATTACATGAAAATAAAATTAATATTTAACCCCAAAAGGTTCAATTATGACTTAAAAAACTATGAAAATGTAGAAGGGAAGATAGTATAGTTTGTGTCAAGCAAAGAAACAGGTCAATTCATTCTACTTACTTGACTAAGCATAATATGGAATAGAAGATAGTATAATGCACCAGCCCAAGCAGGCCTCATAATGATGTCACGGGTTTCAAGTAATTTCCCTTTGAAAGGGAACACTACAAAGAACTTTGACGAAATCTGGATGGATAAGATCTTGATCAAACCCCGTAAAAAAGACGAACTTGAATATGGGGTTGTCGAAGCTTTTAACAACGGGAGTTTACTCCATAGGTAAACCTAAATAAACATGAAAATGTTGTCAACGTCCAAATTTCAAGATAAATAAAACGCTTAATCTCTTGGTAGAGAAAATATTCACAAGTGAGAGCACATGGATTTATTGGGTGGAGAGGACTAGGGTCTTCACAAGGACATCAAGATCCAAAAGAAAAACAAATAAGGTGCAACAGCCTAGAAGATTATCTCATGATCATCGATAAACGGCCGTTAAAAAGCAAAAAATTATCTACAATTCTTTCCCACGAAAAAGACAAAGCCCTCTTCAATATACTCCTTATTCACATCCCTCTCTAGCTATAGCCTTGGGGGGGGGGGAAGGGAAGGAATGATGAATATTGGAGGCAAGATCAAGTAACGACATTCCACACGCAAATCACAGAAGACAACTTTGTTTGGCCTCCAAGTTTACTTGGGCAAATCAAAGATGGGCATCCAGTGCCTCCAAGAAAATGCCTTCTAATACAACAACAGCCATAGTCCCAAAATGATTTGAAGTTGGCCAACATAAATCGTCATAAGGGACCGTCCGAAAAGGAAAAAAGCATAGTTTGTGGGGAAAAAAAAAGGTGTGTAAAGTGAAAAACAGAGAGTATACAAATAAAGTTTAAGAGAGATAAGGGGGTAAAAATAAGTAAGGAGAAACATGTGAGCAAAAAAAACATAATGTTTTAAGAAAACTTTAACAAAAGAAATAAGTAAAGTTTGCAAAACATTGGTTATGTAAACAATAAAAGTAAATACTAAAATATATATATATATATATATATATATATATTCAATAGCTGTAACTTAACACTCTTCCTAATTGTCTCATTCCTCAATCGATCTTTTCTTGTATGGTCACACATCTATCGTGACTAGAGATGACAACCGGTTGTTTGTCACACTCCTAAATTTCCCTAACATTTTCGTTCACTCTTTATTGTTTGTCGCACTTCTTCATTCCACCGTGTCCTTACTTAGTGGAATGCTACCTTTAGATTCTCCTAAAGTTTCTTTCGCCATTTCCTTTATGGAATGCTCCATGTTACTCCACATTGAATCTACATCCAAGTCAGTGCTACAAGACCAAATTCTTGCATCATCCATCATAATGACTTCTAATATGCGGATAAATTTGGGGTTGTAAGTTATGCGACTTATCTCAATTTCCAACAGAGAAATACAGGCAAAAAGATCAGATGATTCAACCTACCAATCCATGAATTAGGAAGCCCTAAAAGACACAATTTTAGCACCCCATTTCCTGAAATAACCTAAATATCTTACAGATATAATTGCAAATTGCATGCTGTGAAGTAAAAGAACAATATAGGTAAGTGATTAATAAATAAGAGCTATTCACAATGGACTATTTCAACACAAAGCTAATCCCAGCTGCCAAATGCCAATAGGGGGACCCAAATGAATAGAATACCTCACAAGTTCCCCATAAACTAACCAAGAAGATCAACATGACAAGATTGACAACAACAACCACAAAAAAAAAAAAAAAAAAAACACCAAGATTGTACTAGAAAGTGTGGCTTCCTACTAAACCATTTAAGGCGAACCCTTTTCTAAAGGTCTATTAAACTGGCACCAAAAGGCTTGAACATCTTCATCAGTCTCTTAAACTCCTCCAACAGAATATAAGAGAAACCCCGTAGATCTAATATGACATTATTAGATAAAGAATAAAGCCCATGGATCTAAAATGATATTATTAGATAAGAAAGAACCCCGTTAAAGTTACATCATTTGACATAAACATCCACAGAATAGAATACATTATTCAAATAATGTTCAAGGAAGTGTTACCCACACTGTAAACAAAAACCTTACTTGCGAGTTGTGTGACTCACTCCAACAAAAAAATCAACAGAATGTTGCAACTCTCCATGAGAAAACAAACAACTAAAAGGCATGAACGATAATACTCGAGAGAAAAAGATAAACTCACGTAATGGATCGCCATCCTCAAACATCTAAAGCATTAAATATATTTTTACTAAGGTTTTCAAAATTAAATTCATAAAAATTATAACAAGTCAAGGAAAAATAACCCCGAGTCCATTCCATCAAGCTCGAATTAATACCTTTTTCTTTTAAATTGTTCATTTTTGTGAACTTCCTAGTAGCAATTAAAGTCGCATCCCATATATTACTACCTCTCTAAAAATGTTGACGACATGATCCATCATAAAGAGCAAGAGTCCACTTACAAAGTCCAAGGGGTTCCATCCGAAAACTATAACCACACGGAATAGGACTTATAAGAGGGCTAGCCCTTTAGCCTAGTCTCCTCTTTTATCAATGTGGGATACTCAAGCCTCAACACAACTCAAATAGAGCTACACATGCTTCAACATGACAACACAAACAAGTTACGATTGACAAAGAAAATTAAAGCAATTCTATGATAATAGCAAAAAACTAGTATTTTACCTCAATGTTGCAACAAATTCGAAAATGAAACTAGACTTGAAGTATTTCTTGGCAATAATTGTTGGGTCCCTAATAAGCTCCAGCCTTTTAAAAATCCGATTTGCCGGATCATCAATTGCAGTGCGGAATTTGACGAGCATACCCAGAAATTGAAATGAATCACCAATTGCTCTCAGCAAAGAAATTGGATAGGCCAATCTGAAATCAATGCCTATGTCATTGTAATCAACCCTTATGATAAACAATGAAAAAATGTCGAATATCAAAATGAAGAACACAAAACGATTCCAATTGATGATTAGTCTGCTTCGTGGATCGAAGGTTCGTTGCCATAATGATTGGGGTTGCTGCCCATCATTTGACGGAGAAGACGGGGTTATTGGAATCATAGCCATTTCTTTGTCGCCGCCGCCAGGATGAATTTGAAATTAGTAAGATGATGAGAGAGGGAACGCATCATTGGATTAATCAAGGGTGAAGCTAAATTTTCGACTCCCTTTGATACAGGTTTCATGCCGCCACCAGATCTGGTTCAACAATCGCACTTGTGTTTCTATTTATCAAGTATCGCCTTTAGGTACCACCTTCGGATTCGATAGTTTACAATCTCCCTACCTTATAAAACAAGTACGTATTTCGTAATCCAAATTAAGTTTGGTCAAGTGAAAGGAGAGATCTTTTCGATCATGAGGTTAAAGGGGGTTGGGAGGGGTCGGTCTCCGGTGGGGTTAGGAGTTGGGCTAAGGATTTTACGGTGGGAGTGGCTAGGGTGTTTGGGTTTTTTTCTTTTTTTTTTTTTCTTTTTTTTCTTTTTTTTTTTAAATTTTACATCAATTATATGTCGACACATGTCATACTTATCTGCTGAGACCATTGAAAAGCAAACTCATATCAAAATTGAGATTATTAGATAGTAATCAAAAGTTGGGATTGGGACCGACTCCCGACCAGGAAGTACCGGCAGCTACTCGGCCTTTTTTTGATCAATCTCCGCCTTCTTGTGCCATAACCCGGTTTCCCCCTAAGCTGCTCAACTGAGCCTTGGATCTTATTGCTGTTTTTGCAGCTCTGCCAAGCATTTTGTTGAACAACTTAGGGACCTAGATTTTGCATTTTTCCAAGAATGTCTACTCCACTTCTGAATCCCCACAGACCTCGCATGCCCCAAGAATCCCTAATTACGATTTCTTCAACCCTACAGAGCTATTGTTTTTGCGAACTTCCTTCTTGGGAAAACTCTCCCCCGTGGGGTTGGGGGGTCGCGTTCCTTTTTGCTGTTTTTTTAAATCGGAAGTTCACCTGCTCATTTAGGGAAAGGAATGATTGGGGGGGCGTAGGCTTACAGCACAAGGATGGGGACGCTACTCCCGCGAAACATTCAGGCGCTCCTTTCTTCTAACTCCATGGTCTCAATCTTCCTCCTAGTCGTGAGAATCTGCCCCTGCGTAGCAGACTCTTCCCCTGGCTCTCTATCGAGATCTACCGCTTTGCCGAGGTAATGGATACTGTTTCGGGGTTTTTTGATGTGTCCTGCGGGAGAGTTACGATTCCAAGAATGCCCTTCGACGCCTGTGCCTGCAAAATCACGAAGACTCCTGGGGGTAGGAGCTCCGCCTCCGACGATCAAGTTAGTAAAGATACGGGAGGTAGAATGCACGTAATGTGGAAGTTACTTCTCGCGTAATGGGAGAATTCCGCAATTAATATTGCTCGGGGTAAGTGTGTTTCTTTTTGAGGAGTATTCAATGTGATCAACAAATGTTCCAGCCCCCATTAATGAGGGTCCTTCCACTATTTATAGTGGGGAAGGGATGGTTCCCCTTTTAGGGTTTAGAGGACACGTGTCAGCAGAGGATTGGAGCCCTGCTGACCAATGGCTGGATGCCACGTGTCACTAGGCCATTGGGCCATGTGATTAGGGTATTTTTACCCCAAACAGATACCGCTCCTGGCGTTTGCTTTAACCTAGATGAATGGTTTGGTTAAAAATGCGAACCCTTGGGAGCACCAACCCTACTGAGGTTTCTAGCAACCCCCCAACCTTTTGGGTTGAGCGCCCGCCTCCTCTTCTTGTAGGGGTCAGCCATCCGTCGTATCGGATGACTACTCGGCAAGTCTTAATAGCGCATGCGCTATAGCGATAGGACCGTAAGGAACGGCGCGTGCTGGGTAGTCAGTCCAGCCTCTCCGCCGCCAAAGATTCCGAAAGCTCGTATGGCAAGAAGGGACCTCAGAGGTTCCAGACTTCTTTCTTGTATCTGCAAAATCGCGGAAATGGCGATTTCGAAGATCACTTATTGGTTTTACGAAAAAGCTTTTATTTCCTTTTCTTTAGCTCTTTCTTTTCTTTCTTTTTCTTACCATCATGAAAAGGGTTTCAAAGGCTTCAATTCTTCTTCTTTTTCTTTCTAAATTGCCCAAAATTAGGATTATTAAATTGAATTGTTCCTTCTATTCAAAAAAAAAAAATGAATTGTTCCTTTTAAAAAACATGTTCCTTATCAACTTTAAGTCTGGTTTGGCTTTACATGGTGAGTACACAAATTTGATATGTCTAAAATCATATATGGATTATATAAAAACTTATATTGAAATTTAGATGTTCAAAAACTTATATGAAATGTCTAGTTATTACTTATATATCTCGACTCACATTCTCGTTACATATTTATTGATCCATTTAATTTGATCATTTAAGAAGACGACATGATTTTCTTTATCATAATCGCAAATAATTATGATGACAAGATCGATTATATATAAATTTAATCGGGGACTAACCATTTTAAATTTGCTCATACCCTGTATAAAATTGATGAAGCTTTATTTGACGAACCATAACTTGTGATATATTTGTTTGTAAATAACAAATCATTTACTTCAAGCCTACATTGACAACTAGGCAAACAATGCTCTTCAAGTAATTTAAAGCTTTTAGAATACTCTTTGTGATCGAACTTGGTCCACTGGAAGTTGCAGAAGAGTGGCATATTCCGAGAAGCTTGAAATTTCCAGTTGTGTTTGGCACCGGCATTGAGACAAACTTTACCAATAATCCTAGACAATTTTTTTGATTTACAATGCATATTTACTGGTTCATCACTATAATTATTCACAGATATAGACGCCTTGGTGCGTCTGGCACATTTCTTCATAATAATTTAATTGCGAATGGTAAGCCCTACCATGATAACGACAATTCTTATGCCCACAACAATTGCATCCGGGGTCGCCTCTGCAATTTCTAAAGATAGTACCATTGCCACTGCCAATAAAAGGCTACATTTGGAGTAGTTTCGAGTAGAACCCATGAAATCTCAACCTACACTTGTGATGCCATTTTAACCCTTTGCCCACTAACATACTGTAAATGAAATGGACGTTTTGCTTGTACTCTAAATTCAATTACTATTTTGGTTATTTATAACCAATTGGCCATGTTAAATGACCAACAATAATAATGGAATTCGTGTGTAAATTTTATTTAATGACAATGCAAACTTAAATTGGCCTTGGCATTTCTTCAACAAATAAACAAAATTGGCCATGACAATATGCATTATTGAAGAAGATCAGAGTAACGATGGCTGTAAAAAGAGGTGTTACTCGAAGTTATGTGGTGACCAATTTAGTCAAGCTGTACCCGTGTTGGGAGTGAACGTTTTTTTTTTTTTTTTGTGCAAGACGTCAGGAACTCAAGAAGCAACTCCATTTTGGCGTTGCAAAGGTTTGATGTAGGAGCTATATGACTCAAAATTTTATGTTCATCAGCTGGTTTTCAGATCCAACCAATGCTTTGAATTTTCGCAATACTGCTATATAGGGCACGGGAGTTTCAACAAGGCCACCACCATGCATGCATCACTAAGATCTAGCAAGGACCCTAAGTCCCTAAGCTAAAGCTAATTGAGTTATATCTCAAGACAAATAAAGAGCTTACACTAAAGTTTGCTATCTTCCAGCCTTTAAATCTTTAATTGGTTCCATTATAAAATAATTTGTAATAGATAAAATTAAGTAACATAATTTTAAGATGGAACCTCACTTGACTTACATGTGTTAAGATGTCTCTCAAGTTGGTCTCATGATAATTGCCAATTACTACCTGAGAAGGATAGGCAATCACGGCTGGTGTAGGTATGAATATTGGTCTCATGATGGTTGTCAATTACTACCTGAGAAGGATAGACGATCGCAAACAAAACCTTTTGATCCGGAAGTGTTAATGTGTGACTCGAAATCGGGGTTCGATTACGACAAGATCAAAAAGGAAGCGGTAAAGTTATACACGTGATGACTAGTCTAAATCATGCATGTCATGATGACTTGAGTGTCATGATAATGCCTAGTAGTCTAGTCTTGCATGCAATGATGTCTTTAGTGTCATGATTACTTTATTGACTTTAAGGGCACATGCAAGTATGGTGACATAGGTGCCTTGTATCTTTCCTCTTCTTAAGCCACAATGATGTTGTGTGGAGGTGGAACATCACGCAGTGTATTAGCACACATAGCTTCATCACTTGTAATCTTAGTAATTCCTTTCCTCCATTGAAGTTGGTAATAAAAGCTCTATCTCCTTTCCCCTTTGTGGACGTAGCTCATTTTGAGTGAACCACTATAAATCTTGTGTCTTTTGTTTTGTTCATTTTAATTGCTTTCTCAATTCAACTTGCATTGTTATTACAATCAAACTCAAAGTCCCAAACGGTCCTATTTCCTAACAGGAAGTTATCAACAATGATATCTATGACAAGTCTATCCTCGGGCACAAATAAGGTTGATTTTCATACTAAAGCCGGAGCTACATTCAACCATAAGTTCATTAATACTTCTCACACTTCGCTTACTTCATACAACTTTGAGGAAGGTTTGTGAATTTATCAAAATGTAACAAATCTAACAGCATGTAAAGACTATTTCCAAATGAGCAACATTGTGTACGCCTTGGACATAAATGATAACTATGATATCAAATTCGAGAAAATAACACTGACCTACTTGAATTTAGTACAAGTACATTTTCTCTATAGGATACCATATGCAATTGTGCAAATTATCTGCTCACTTAAGCTTGTAACACACCAGACCAGGCCTAGCTCTTTCATCAAGCAATTATTTGCAGCCAATGACAGCTTCCTAGCTACCTCTCGAGACAAACGAATAACTTGCATAAGTTGATCAGTTATTATTCAAAGGTTACAAGGATGAAAATAAAAAACTCAAACGATTAGCTTTCAAGCTTCTTTCAGATTATTCCATCTTTCAAATGTAGCTGAGACAAAGGCTTTGTGAATAATGTGAATATTCTCTTATCTTATATACATTGTCTTTAATAAGTTTGTATTTTCTATCTCATAATTTATGTACCACGTGCCTCTTTATGGATTGGTACTTTGTCCACCATTTGTATATCTTGAAATTTTAGGTTATAATAATATCAACAAAAAAACAAGAGACATACAAATGGTACACAAATTAAGGGATTGACAAAAGATTTGGATTCACCCATTATATCATTGCTATTAACTATTAAGGGATCGGCAACTAGTCAACTAGTGTCGATCCATCATCACCAGCCTCATCAATTCATCATCATACTTAGATCTGCAATTAATAACCGTCACAGCTGAGTTGATGCTACTAGTATTGTGGATGGATCCCTTGCCATGATAACCTTTGCTAGCCAATCTCTTCATTTCAATACGTCTTTTGACAGCCATGACAACTCCAAAAACAGAGAAAACTAACATGACAAAGATCGAATCATTCGGGCATCCTTCCACAAGTTGTGCTGAAAACATTATAAGACCAAGAACAAGGGCGGGCCATTTCGTGTGCTGGACTGCCACATTTCTTTTGGCTGTAATTTTACACCAATGAAACCAATCAATTGCATGTATATATATTGTCCTTCCCCAAAGCTAGGGATGTTATTAAGGGTATGGGAAGATTCATGTTACTCCACATTCATGCATTAAATGGAGAAAATTGGCTTCATTAGTAGCATGTCAACGGTTACGAATTGAAATGAGCCAGTGAAATTATAGTCAGGCACTGAAACACAAAGACAGCTGCAAAAGTAATCTCACTGTATTGATGTGTCTGGCTAGTTGATGTCACTCCTTCCCTTCATTTGATGTATTTCTTGTCAAATTCACAAGATCTCGTGATCAGGAACACAATTACGTTGCTGCACATATCTTTGCAAGTTTGGAGCAAATCTCTCCACTGTTAGTAAGTTGATTACAGTCAATACCCAAATTCTTTGATCGGCAATGAAAAACCTTGCTGCTATCTTTCCAACGAATAGCAATTATACGATTCATACCAACAAATATGCTCTGGCTACAAAAAACGCATCAGGAGTCAGTGTCTCTGCCAGTACCACTGCAAGTAGCATCAGAGATTCAGATATTAAGTAGAATACCCCATTTTGGATAGTTCTAGTAGCCATTGCTTCTAAGCTTACTACTTCAAAAACTTGAATGTGAATTGTGATATAAACAACCGAATAACTGATTGTTCATTCTACAGCAGAATAGTATTTCAGAAAGGGAGTTATTTGTGCACAGTTTTATGATACAACAAAGCTCGTTAATGAACACCCACTACTCAGTGCTCAGGCCAAATAAAACGAGAACAGGGGATAGCAGCTCATAACGATGCAGCTTCTGGGCTTTGTATGACAGACCAAGTCAGGAGTCAGGAACTCAGGACCCATTCTGAATTAGGCGAGTCTCCATGAGCACTTGAATGTTCCGTACATTTACTCTACAAGGGAAGTTGCTCTTCTACATCATGATAATTTTTTGGGTTCATGGACCTAATGCACAAGGAGTGAGGGAAAAAGAAATACATGAATAAGAACACCAGAACTCCAAGATCAGCCTCTTCCCCAACAGCTGGCCGACGGGGTTGTACCAGATATATCTGACTTGCACACCATAAGCAATATAAAGCTGCTATGGTAATAATCAGTTTAACGGATTGAGTATATTGCGTTTTTATGGATTTGGAAGGTCCTACTCTGAAAAAATCGAATTGGAATTTATCAGATGCCATTACTATGGAGACACAAAGAAGAACGCAAGTTCATTAAAAGTCCGTTTATTTTTCTAAAAGAATACCTGTGGATGTATATAAAACCCAGAATTAAACCAGTGCACAATAGACTAATTACTATAACGGCATCTGGGTTGATGGGGGCACGATTCGCCCACCAGCCAGTGCTCAATATCCAAGTGTATACAGATGATTTCCCATTTTCCTGCGTAACTTCAAGACAGTTAGATAAGTTACTAAGATATGAGTTAGTTCTACAAGTAGATCATGCTCTATATAAAGAATAATACGAACAAGCTACAAACATTACATGAACTCCAAATAGACTTCAAGAGGATAGAATATTGAGAGAAAGTACACATACAGAACAATGCATGTTTTGATGCTTTCATGATGAGTTAGGTGTGCACCAAAAAAATGATGAGTTAGGTCAATTAGCCTAGATGAATAAGCATTGAGAATCAGGGAAAACACACACACACAAAATGTAAAGATGATTAAGTTTAATGTAAAGCATGGACTGATGTATAGCAATTGGAGGAAAATCAGTAGCAAGGATCAAGAGCGGCCGGATCAACTGTAAAGAGTAGGAAACCGTTTTACAGTCCCGTACTTCATTATTTTTTAGAGTAACTACTTCATTATTTTATTTTTTAGAGTAACTACTTCATTATTTTTTAGAGTAACTCAAAATGCTATGCCTTTGATAACACAACAGAACTCGATATTCACAGCATTTCACTCAATACATAACAAGAAAGATCTTCAAACAAGAACCTCAGTTTTGTAAACAACTAGATTAGTGCCCGTGCGATGCATGATAGTAATAATTTTTTTTCCCATTATTAATTGTGATATAATATAAAAATAAGGCAACTCATGTATGTGGAATAAACAAATGCAATGTATATAAAAAAAATAAAATAATAAGCCAAAAATTACTATTACTACAATTGAGGAAAAAAAATATTGTTGATTAATTGTGTTGAAAATATTTAAGTGTAGTATAAATTATATTACATTAATGATGCATATTATTCCCAATCAAACTTATGACTAACGACTTATTTATAAATTTCTTTTAATAAACATGAAAAATATTAATCAAACAACAGAGTAAAATCTACGATAAAACTATTAGTACAACATACATGTAAATATATAAATTACAAATGATTTATCACCTTTAATTTATATCAAATAAAATAATTTCAATGAAAATAAATACTACTCGGATTATTAAAGGCAATAATATACAATTAGGCAACACATTCTGTTTATGAATTGATTCTCTAAATTATATCGTCGTTCTTTGTTATTATATAAAAATGTGTTTGAACCTATCCAATAATTGTAATTTGATCATTGTTTGTTTATTGTCTTAAAAATTTATTTGTATATGATGGCTATTTATCGGAAAAAAAAAAAGGATACACAAGAAAATGTCACTTGGCACTATGTCCGACGTGTCTTTTACTATGCATCTTATTTATAATGTTGAATGTTTTAATAAATTTATCATCTCATCACATGTTTCGGCAACAAATAATAATTTTGTTTGTATTTACTAAGATATTAATTTATTTAATTACGTAATAACAAAAAATGATTGATATTCACATTTTCCTAGAATAAAAAATATGATATAATTGTCGAACACAACATTTATTATATAGTCATATGTAACACTCCATTAGTCTAAGAAACAAAATATTAGATGTATTTCAAAAAAAATTAAAGTGATATCTTAAAGTAATTTCTTTAATATCAATTATATGAATTAATTTTATTATTACTTTTTGGGCAAAATTTAATAATACTTCGTCTAAAAGATGTCCGGCGGTAATAATAGTATCTTGTACCTGATTAAGTGGCTCACTATTTCTATAATTAAAAAAGAGTTAGAATACTATTTTTAGATAAATGTGTATAGAAGAATTAAGAACATGAAATAAAAAGAAATACTACCTCCGTTCCTGAAAGTTTGACTCACTTACTATTCATCTGGTCAAAATAAAATAACTTTGACCACATCTTATGATTTATACAATAGAAATAAATTAGTATGAAGGGTCTTATTAGATTCCCCTTATTATAAAATTTTCAAATATCAACTTTTTATAATTTTCACTTATACATAGCCGAAGATATTCATGGTTAAATATGTTCATTGGAAACCGCGCAAATGCAAAATGAGTCGAACTTTCAGGAACGGAGGGAGTACATTTTATGTAAAGATAATATATAAGATTTGAAATAATATTATTATAGTTGTATTATGCAAATATTCCAAAAAATAAAGATATTTTGCTAAAAGGGAAGGGGGAGTTTTGGAGGGAAAAAACAAAATCAGGGAGTGACACGTGTCATTCTTAGTACCTGTTTTAGTAAAATGTTATTGATTTCAAGTTATAACCGCATCAGAGGCACAATGTTCACCAATCTAAACATTGGCTTTATAATTACTATCACTCCATACTACAAATCTACAAGATGCGGCCAGTGCAGTGTTGGCAAAAGAACATTACCTCAAATAAATGGTCCAGAAAGAAATGTGACAAAGAACCAGCCGTAATCAGAAAAAAGCATTGTAGCCTAGTGAGGGGCACCTTTCAGGAAGAAAAATTTCTGTTAAATATAAAAGCATCCTAGATTGACTTGGCCATATTTTTAATTTTTTTATATAAATATTCAGTATACATAAATTACATAAATCAATCGGTGCTTTTTTGTGTAGTTGGTCACACCGTGTGGCCAGGATTACTTATTCAGGGGTTACTTATTTAGAGGTTCCTCAGTCGATAAGGGATTACTTATAGGAGTTACTCAATCGGTCAGAGTTACTTATTCAAGGGTTACTTAGTCCGTCAGATATTACTTATAGGAGTTACTTAGTCGGTCAGATAAGTAACCCCGACTACACGGTTTAGTCAGCCACATATAAAAATTTGTGTAAATCAATAGTTGCAGTTGCTGAATATTACCTCCATTACTATATAATTGAAAGTCAAACTTTAGGAACTTGAATTGTCACTAATATACAATTGAAACCTTAAATAAGCAAACGGTGCAACTGTTTAATAATGGGAAAGTATAAAAACAATACAGTTGCAAAATGCTGATATGATTTGAGCGTTAATCAAGGAAATAAGCAATACGCTCAGCAGTCAGCAGTCAGCAGTCTTAGCACACATTTAAGTCTTAACTAGCGTACATTACATTCTCATCATTTCATTTTAATACAATATTCTTGAATTCAATTATTTTCTTTTTTAAGGAAAGAATCAGCTTAAAAATTCAACCCAGTTACCAAATTCAGACCCCAAAACACCTGAGCTTTACTTAATTAATTACTTAAGTTAGAATCCCAATACAAAACACTAAACTAACTTAGCTAACAACAATAATCAAACTAATTTAATTAACAAACACAAAGCATTAATTAAAAAAATTAATGAACACAACACAATTACTAACCCCAGAAAGAGAATCAAGAATACCCTTATGAAGAGCAACTCGAGAAGCCCAAGAGTAGAGGAGAGAGAGTGGGAAACTTAACAACACCACATAATAAAAAGGATGGTGGATGTAATCAGCTACGGCAGACCCCACGGAATCCCCAAATCCAACGGTGGATGTCAGCCACTCCAAGAAAGACCCGATATCCGGCCCAAAGAAGGCGTTGATAGAGTAGCACAAGCAGTGGTGGGGACTGAATCTACCGTTGGATGCAACCATCAAGCCCAGGCCCGATCCCAGGGTGTATATCATGTGTGGGCCGGGGCCCGGCATTCTTAGCCCGGTGAAGTTGCTGTGATGAAGATTGTAGTTAGGTACTTAGGTAAAGGTGTAAGGTAAAGCAAGGGAAACTGAAGGACTAAAGAATGAAAGTGAAGGTGTTTTATGGTTGTGTCATGATGTGTGAGGTGACGAGTGTGAATGCTTAAAGTCGTTAATTTTGTGGGCATGACGTTATTACTGTATAACTTTCAACGAGGTTTGTATTATTAAGAGGTTTGTTATGAACTTATGATAGGTGAAAATCACATAAAAACTGAATAATAATAACTTTATTACTACGTATGTTACGATAAAATATGTGCGCGCATGATAAAATAATAATAAACTGAATAATAATAACTTGATTAGGTGATTAGGTTTTGTGTGTGCGTGCATGATAAAATATGTCGTAGTTATTAAAGATGATTAATCACTTTAGAGAAAATCATTTTATTAATCTTGATGACATATTGGTAAATAAAGTTATATTGTTCCTTATTTTAATAATATAATTGATTAGTTGGACAACCATTTTTCATCAGCTTACATGAAAAGTTGAAAGTGATAGCTATGGTTTACTTGACGGTCGTTTGACGGCAAATTTTGGGAAAAAGTTTAGAGAGAGAAAAGATCCAAATTTTCGAGGCTTTGCATATGCCCAATTCAATCAGGAACTTTTGTTTAAGCATTATTTTGTCCATTTGCATATGCCCAACCCAATCAAGAACTATCCCACTTAGTAGATTATTTAGTAAATTCAATTCACCTGTGGAGTTATGTTCATCGATTCATATTTGTTTTTCAGAGATGCTGTGGCAGCTTCAATGGAGGATTTTGATTGAGGACGACGCCAACCCTGCCCTTAGGGGTTCACCATGCCCTTAATTACACCCTTTTTCATAGGATTTTTGTTTTATTTGGCGGCAAAGCCACTACAGATGGTGGTGTTGGAGGAAGGTGGAGATCGCGAAATGAAAAAGAAGATGCGGGAAGAAGAAGAAATCAGTTTCAATTGAGGAAGAAGAAGCTCTTAGTTTCAATATATGAAGAAGAAGAATAATGCAGCAAACGGCAGTTAACTTGCCAACAATTGAAGTTTGATTTAAAATATATATGTACCCCTAACTTTTAATGTGAAATGGCAAAAATACCCCCAAATAAACCACCTAAGTGTATCAAGGAGATCAACTGGGTGCAGCTCATCATTTTAACCTTAAGTTTGAGAAACTAATGATAATCATTCCAAAGTAGTAGTGCAACCTAAGATTATTTATGTAATTGCGTAATGATATTGTTTATCTACTCGTATATATATGAGTGTAAGTACTCCCTAATTGGATAGAGCCTCCTTCCATAATTCATGCAAAGTAATCAAGAATTAATGGTTCTGATCAACTTTGTCGTTAAGTGCTTATTTGATATTTTGTGTCATGAAGGAGTAAAGAATAGACATCAAATCAAATTTTACAATGCTGATAATTTTATAAGACTTTTAACATAGACTTTTATTAATTGAAATGAAATCTGAATTTTGATTTTCAAATTCACAATAAATGCGAAACTTTTAACTTCTTATATAACTTTGTAATTTGAATGTGCATACTCATGTATTTATAAATGATGCAAATATACAACATAGAGCAACATGCCAACATCAAATTCTCATGAAAACAATTAGTTTTAAACCCGTGCAATGCACGACTGTTTATAACATTGTAATTTTTGTTTATTTAAAATAAATATTAATAAAATAATATTTATTAATTATGGAGTTGTATAAATTGTTTAAAAAGATGCTACACAACATAATTTCAAATGATTTTTTTTATAAAACTTTGAGAGTTTATCTAGAGTTATCCTTTGCTCTATATTGGTGTTTCAAGCATTGACGTAAAGAAATAACAATTGACGGAACATAGAGTAGAAGTGGTCCAGTTTCAACTAACCTTAATAGAATTTGCAGCCCAATTCAATCTCACTTTCACCAATGCTCCAATTTTTTTCCTTCCTGCAAATTTAGGAAAGGTAGAAATATCTAAATTGGGATTTTGATTTTCCAGTACATAATTAATGATTTAAAAAGATTCAAACTGTTTGATCCTATTTAACATATATATCAATTTAAGTTGTGATGTAGTGAACATTTTCTTTTGCCTCAATAAATGTTACCATTACATCTTAAATACCCTAAAGTTTGAACTGAGATAATTACATTAAAGATTACATTTTACCAATTTTCTTGAATACTATACCAATCTTCCACCATATATGCCATTTTAACCATGCAAATAAATTTTAGCTTGTACTCCACGGTAAATATAAGGGCTACAATTTTTTTTTCTTAATTATTGTTCTGCGATATACATTAATTAGAAGAAACGGGCTTACCAAAAAGAATTTGTAGCCTAATTTGAACTTCACTTACTAATGATCCACAATGACCTTTCTGCAAACTAAACATATCAATTCTATTAGATGTGAAAAACACATTTTGATCATACAGAAGCGACACTTTAAATATGAATGCATAGTGAAATAGAAATGGAAAGGAATTTACTATTTTCAATGGTGGGTTTCTGAACAATTAACTTCCCTTGAGAAAAAAATATTGATCTTGGTTTATCATTTCTCTATTTATATTTTTGAAAGAAAATGAACTAACACTATTGTAAATTTGTTAAGGCTATTTTCTATTGACAGAGGAATTATAAAAACCTTTTTAAAATCTATACTTAGCTAATATATTAAAAAAATTATTTTGTTGAATAGGCATGATTAGGGGATTGGGATGAAGAGATGTATGATTTTTTTTTATAATTTTTTTTTATACTTAATAAAAAAATAATTAAAACAGGAAGAGGACAAGTGTTCTTCCAACTTGCTGTTTTAAAATAATAGTATTGATTTTAAATATAAAACTTTTTAGATGAATACTCAATAGTCTATACTCATAATCTAGAAACTTAAGTTGATCTATTTGATCTTTGATTATGAGATTTGAGAGGAGAATAGGAGATAAAGGAAATTTTGTAACCGAGTATTCAACCTGTTACCCGTAAGGGCCGTGAAAATTTTATTGGTATTTTGACAAATGGGCCACACAAGTGTTTCAGGCCCAAGAAGGCCCAAGTAAATAAGCAATATACATAATTCAGGTATTGCTCGGCAATGGTATAATCTTCATATCTTCAATCTTCCAGTGAATTGTTGTTAAACATCCATTCGACCATTCGGTTACAACCTACGGACTACTATATCAGCTATTGGCTTTCACCATTTCTTTTTTTCAAACTTTTTACCAATTTGTAATTCGAGCTAAGATATCTATTTGACATATGCCTCTATTTGATTCAACGTATTTTATTTAGAATTATAATATTTGCACTTATATTGAGTATTATAAATCTTTTAACTAATATGATCTTATTTTGTCTAAATTAATCAAGTCTTATTTTGTTTGAGGCTCTTAGCTCATTCAAGTTTAACCTAAGAGGGAGTCACAAAGGAAAGATAGTATAGATGAAATTTGATCCCAAGGGCACCATCTTGCAATGGTTAGTAGTCCAACAATACTCAAATTTCATATTAACAAAACTCTCTTCATTCCAAAATAAATTGAAATAATTTGACCTTTTCACTATTTATAAAACTTACTTTGACTATAGTGTTTTGCTACCTTCTATTTTTGTTGAAATAATAGTGTTTTACTACCTTATTAAAAACAAGTGTTAGCACGTAAGATGTTAAATAATAGGTATTAATACAAAGTTATATAATACAGAAAAATATAAAATTACTAGTTTTTAATAATGTATATTAATGTTAATATTAATGGTCAAAATATATCTAATTTAATTGTGGAAGTTATTCTAAAATGAATGTGTATTTATGATTTTTACTCAAGTAGAGTAGATGATTATCTCAATTCTCAAGATCTCACATGCAGTTTGTTTTTTAAGTCTGAAAACAAACAGGTTGAACAGAGGCCCATATGAGAAGCATACAAGGCCCATTTCTAAGAAAAAGAAAAAGGACTGGAAACAATTTCAATATCAATATCTGTGTGTACTGTTGTCACATGGTTATGTCACGGTGTTAGTCAGCAATGTTTATGGTTAGGAAAAGTGGATAAGCTTAAAAAGCAGTTCAAACCCTGGAACATTCTATTACCATCACCCTCTTTGTGGTCCCTCAACCTATTCAACCCCACTTTTTTTTTTTTTTTTAACCCTTCTCCAAGGAAAACAATAGTTTTAGGAGTGAGAATTGAAAACCTCCCTGTATCTTACTGTATAAAAAAAAAAAAAAAAAGTTTTAGGAGTAGTAAACACAACTTTGTTTAATTATTGCCACTTTTTTTTTAAAATATAACACCCTTTCAAAGATAAGATTGATGATTTTAATTTTTGATACTTTTATGCACAAGTATAGAATATTACTATAAGATCAATATAATCCTCACTTCATAATTAATAGCTTTTCAAAATGTATAATATAATGTTTTCGTACTCATTTTATAAATTTACTCTAAATTGTCGAGTATAAGTGTATAACATAAAATTTTTGTGAGATAATGTTGTTTTATGTTACTCCGTATTAATTTTGAACGTAGGTCCTACATTCTACATTTATTTTTTTCTAAAGATTAATATTTAAGTGAATATCAACTTCAGTTTTACTATTTAAAATTAAATATAGTCAACATGTAATTCACATACGGTATACCATAATGAAACCCCAATCCCATTTACTAATTTAATGCATGGTACATTAGTACTCCTACTGTACATTATTTTGAAAATATATAGAATGCTTTATTTTAATGGGCTCAAGAAACTTTAGTTATACAAGTGTCAAACATCAACTTAAATATTACATTGTCAAATCAAAATTGGTCCATACACCCTACCCCATTTTTATATTTTGTGAATTCATAAATAAGAATGTAGTTGTATTATTAGTATGAGGCTATGAGCTAATCAAGGATATCAATTTCTAGATGAAAACACGTCACGTTTCACATATGTATGAATGAATACAGCTTTGTACTCCATCATTTTACAATGATCTAAACAATTGTTAAACTTCAATAAAACAATTCGGAGAAAACAGCTTAATGAGCCTTTACTATTAAACACATATATATAGGCTTACAACAGTAACCTAACATGCCAAAAACTCCTAACAAGATATATACAAATATATTCACAAAATATATCTCATAGCATAATTATATCCTAACACTCCCCCTCAAGTCGGAGCATGTAAATCACGAATGCCCAACTTGTTAAGAAGAAAACCAAACTGTCGTTTTCCAAGTGCCTTCGTCAAAATATCTGCTAACTGATGATCGGTAGGAACATACGCAGTAGCTAGATTACCATTCACCAACTCATCACGAACAAAGTGACAATCTGCCTATATATGCTTAGTACGATCATGAAAAACAGGATTTTTAGCAATATGGAGAGCAGATTGACTGTCACAATACAACTTCATAGGCTTAGGATGCAAAATACCAAGAGAGGACAACAAAGATTTCAACCACTTTAATTCGCAAGTTGTAACTGCCATAGCACGATACTCAGCTTCGGCAGAAGAACGAGATACTTTCGGTTGTTTCTTAGTCTTCCACGAGACAGGGGAACGACCAAGAAAAACCATATAACCAGACAAAGAACGACGAGTCAAAGGACACGCTGCCCAATCACTGTCACAGAAAGCCGTCAAACACATGTCCTTCATAGGACGTAACAATATACCCTGACCAGGACTACCTTTGATATAGCGAAGTACCCTGATTGTTGCATCCCAATGTTGCACCTGCGGGTTACTCAAAAACTGTGCAAGAGTATGAACAGAGTAACTCAACTCTGGACGAGTTACAGATAAATAAACAAGTCGCCCAACTAAGCGACGATACTGATCAGGTTGAGAGAATGGCTCCCCTTCGGCATATGCCAAACGATGGTTCTGCTCCATAGGTGTATCAATAGGCTTACAACCTAACATACCTGCCTCAGATAATACATCTAAAGCGTATTTACGCTGAGATAAAAATATACCTTCCGGGCCACGAGCAACTTCAATGCCCAAAAAATACTTCAACACACCAAGATCTTTCATATGAAAGCATGTACTCAAATACGATTTAAAACGAATAATCGCATCATGAGAGGAACCCGCAATAATAAGATCATCAACATAGACAAGTACATGCAGAGAGACTGATCCCTGAATATAACTGAATAATGAATAATCTGCATACGATTGCTTGAAACCATACGATTTCAAATCATTAGAAAATTTAGAAAACCACTGTCGAGGAGCTTGTTTCAGACCATATAGAGACTTACGCAACCTACAAACCTTCCCTGGAGTAGGACAGTTATAACCTGGAGGTAACTGCATATACACCTCCTCCTCCAAATCACCATGAAGAAAATCATTATGAACATCCATTTGATGCAACTCCCAATTTAAAGAAGCAGCAACAGAAAGAAAGAGTCTAACAGTCCCCATTTTTGCCACAGGGGCAAAAGTCTCGTGATAATCAACACCTGCAACCTGTCGATTGCCATACACAACAAGACGACCTTTAAGTCGCTCTACTTCACCTATAGATGTATATTTAATTTTATACACCCAACCACTACCAATAGCCTTCTTACCTGGAGGTAAGTCCACCAATGTCCACGTGCCATTTCGTTCAAGAGCATCAATTTCTTCTTTCATCGCCTTACGCCACCCTACATGTTTCACAGCTTCACTAAACGAGGAAGGTTCTCTACCCTTTGAAACTGATGTCAGAAAACACTTGTGTCTCACAGAAAAATTGTTATAATCAACATAACAAGCTATATCAAATTGTTTACCTGAAGAACTTGATTGAGAGACGGGAGCAGTAGTTGTTGATGGAGTGGGGTCTATTGCCTGTCGAACAACCGTATTAGTCACATAACCACGGAGCTTCGAGGATGGAATTTTTGTACGATGACCACGACCCAAAACCTCAACATTGTTAGGAGTATTACCCCCTGCCACGTCATTGTGAGCACTCGTTCTCCCCCTCAACTCAAGAGAGGCATTAGCAACACCATTTCCAATTGAATCATTATCAAGCACATGCATATTGTTAACATCACCATGCAAAGAATCACTATTACCATGCATATTATTAACCTCCACAGTAGCATGCATATCTTGCAAAGAGGCCACATCAGAAGCACTAACAGTCTCACGAACAGGTGTAGGCGCATGCAAATCATTATCAAAGTCTTCATCATCCCACAATCTAACTTGATTAAAATAATTTTCCCATTGCACTTTCTCCGACTCATTAAATATATCAATAAAAGGAAAAGTATCTTCAACAAATTGCACATCTCGGCTTATTAAAAACTCATTAGTCTCTAAATCATAAAACCTCCATCCTTTTTTTCCATAAGGATAACCAACAAAAATACACCGTCGAGACTTTGAGTCAAATTTGTCCTTAGCACGCGAATTATTCACAACATAACTCAAACAACCAAAAACACGCACTTCATCATAAGAAGGAGGTTTACCAAATAAACATTCATGAGGGGATTTTCCTTGTAAGATGGGAGTCGGAGTCAAATTGATAAGATGAACCGCAGCTAAAACACATTCCCCCCAAAAATACTTAGGTAATTTAGCTTGAAAACGTAAAGCCCGTGCAACATTTAAGATGTGCTTATGTTTTCTCTCAACGCGACCATTTTGTTGTGCAGTATCAACACACGATGTTTGATGCAATATTCCTTTTTTACCGAAAAAGGACCTTAAACTCAAGAACTCTTGCCCATTATCACTTCTCAAAATTTTAATCTTTTTATTAAATTGAGTTTTAACCAAAGAATAAAAATTACGAACCAAAGTTCCCACTTCATGTTTTCCAATCATCAAATATACCCATGTTGTACGAGAATAATCATCCACAATAGTAAGAAAATATCTAGCATTACAACTAGACGATACTCTATTCGGACCCCAAATATCACAATGTATCAAATCAAACAAACCAGATGCTTTATTCATACTCAAAGGAAAAGAGTTTCGGGGTTGTTTACCCATAAAACAAATATGACAATCAAACACACCACACTTTTTATTCATACTACTACTAGCTACTCCAAGTAAAGAAGAAACTACTTTCATAGAAGGATGACCTAAACGCCTATGCCATAACATACTTGCATCTGGAACCACCACAGAATTGACTTGAAAACTACGAGCACGGACCGGCCGGAAGAGATAGACCCCATTATACTGCACCCCCGCTCCAATCAGGTTCTCCAAAGTGCGGTCCTGAATAGTACATAGCTTGTTAGTGAAAAGAACAATATAGTTTTGCTTTTCTAATAATTGAGACACTGACAATAAATTACAATTTAATTTGGGAACAAATAAAACATTGTCTAATATTAAACCATCACTAAATTTTATTTTCCCTTCTTTAGTGGCCGTAGTACTTTTCCCATTAGGCAAACCAACGGGAGATAAAATATCACGTAAATTATAAAACAATTTTAAGTCACCCGACATGTGATTTGATGCTCCAGTATCAATTATCCACTCATCCGAATTATACATACCATGAGAATTATTGTCAGTTGAAGGAGGGGTTTTTACACCCTTAATAGCACTCATAAATTGAACCCACTGTTCATTACTCAAAGTTGGAGCACTTGTACGGTCAACATCATTAATATCATCACCATTATATTGCTTTGAGCTACTGCTCACACTGCCAGCAAACCCACGACCACTAGAACCTTGCGCACGACCACCACGGCCACCTCTACTTGACCCACGACCACCACGCTGACCACCACGCCCACTAGAATTAAAAGATTCGGGCCAGCCATGTAGATCAAAACACTTCTCCTTCACATGACCCTTTTTGCCACAATGATCACATACACGAGATTCACCACTACTCGACCAAGTAGTCCGACCCTGAGCCGTACCAGACGCAGCAAACCCAACAGCACCATCTGGACGATTACCGTGAGCATCCGAGACAGTTTGCTTGCGTTCATCCGACACAACCTTTGCATACGCCACATTGAGAGAAGGAATAGGGTCCATCATGAGGAGAGTAGACACCACACTGCCAAATTTCTTTGGGTCTAAACCAATACAAAATTGATGGAGTAATTCACTCTCAACAATTTTAGCATATTCAGGAGCAGCTGTACACGTACACTTGGAAATTTTGACATAACTAGCCAACTCATCTTGTAATTTACGTAACTCACCAAAATACACCGCCACCGGCCTACCACGTTGCTTGCAATCTACAATTTGAGCCTTTAACTCTAGAATACGAGGGCCATTGCCAAGGGAATATCTATCACGTAGATCATCCCACAAAGACTTGACATGGTCTGAAAATCGAACAGTGGATCGCACAGAAACATCCAATGTATTAACAATCCAAGCAACAAGCATGAATTAACAATGCCCCATTGATCAAAATCAGGAGACTTAGCATCCGGCACCTTAATAGTACCATCAATAAAACCAAGTTTGTTCTTCGCACGGAGGTTATTGCGTAGAGAACGAGACCACTCCTCATAGTTGTCTCCTTTCAACATAATAGGGCTTATCACAGCCCCTGTACCTTCACTCGGATGGAGATAGTAGGCTGAAAACGGTTCGTAGCGAGGGCCCTTAGGAGACAGAACATCATCACCACCAGTCATCACAACTCAAGAAGAACAACAAAGAACACACAAAGCGGAAGCACAAACCAGAAACACATGCAAACAATCTGGAAAAGAAAAACAAAGCTAGGGTTTGTGTTTGGGAAAAAAAAAAAACTGGGAAAAGAACGTAAAAAAATCTCTAATTTAGAGGGCTCTTGATACCATGTTAAACTTCAATAAAACAATTCGGAGAAAACAGCTTAATGAGCCTTTACTATTAAACACATATATATAGGCTTACAACATTAACCTAACATGCCAAAAACTCCTAACAAGATATATACAAATATATTCACAAAATATATCTCATAGCATAATTATATCCTAACACTCCCCCTCAAGTCAGAGCATGTAAATCAACAATTAATGTATCCCTTTGATCCGTTTTATACTTGGGTAATATATAAAATATATTTATTATTTTATCCATTTTTTTTCTGTTCATTGACCATTTTACACATTATTTTTATTTTTGTCAAGATGAAGGATTTTATTTGGCCAAACCCTTTACAAGTCAATTCAGTCCGGGTTAGCAGACTAGACAATTTGAGAGAGATTGAAGAGAAGGTAAGGAAATCTTACTCCCCAAATTATCACCCGTGAAGATTAAACCTTCTCCATCTTATAATTAAAAGGTACTCTCCTTTCCACTTGACTAAAGACCAAGCTTACTGTAAATAATGTGAAATGGAGTTCGTACTTAATGTTGGGATCATTATGAAATGGAATTTGTATAAAGATTAGCAGTGCGATTAAAGTGGATAAGGATGGAATTTGATGGGCCATGGGTCATTGGGTCAATACCTGACAGTGGACCAATTACCCACGCGGCTATCACACGCCAAACTTCACCAGCCATTTGCCACCTCATTCTTCTTTCACATTTTCGTTACAAACCTATTTTTTTTTTTTAAAAAAAAAAAATCAAATTTACCCCACAAAAATAAGGAGAGCCCACAAAATATAGTGTCGGTCCCACATGAATAATAAAATAAAATAAATTTGTAGGACCAAAATCTCCATATAAGTTGGCAAGCAATTGAAATCCCTAGTCCCAATTTTCTGTTGATCCTGTGATTGCTGCTGTTTACATGCAATGCAGCATGAGGGGTGTTACGAGTGTTAGCCTAATTCTGGTCAATTTCATATTGTTTTTTATATTTCTAAAGTATTTATGTGACAATGGATATGCCTGAATGTATATATCACCACCGTTTTGACTATTATTGTTTGTACCTTCTTATCTTTATCTCTTTGATGCGAATCTATTTCAGATTTCTTTGGGGTACCACTTTCATCATGTTATTCATCTATGTTTTGGTCGTTCTACTACTATATATAAATATATGTATGTCAAACTAAATTACTATGAATAATTCTTCTACTTGATAGCTATATCTTAGACAACTAAAATGCATTATATGAAATCAAATTGGAATGAACATATGGTGGATTCCACTTGTTGATTTACAAGTTTGAATCCCTTAGCTATCCCTTTTGCTCAAGGATTTGGAGGATTTGGAATTACCTCAACATTAATAATCTTTGTTCGTCACAATTCACTAGTTAGGCACGCACATTAATGTGTTTGATTAAATACCTAAGCCATGTGAATTGATAAGACCAACGAACCTAACTAAAATCCGTATGTATCTAACAAGTTAAAAAGCACAAGGTTAATCAAATTCTTAAAAATCTACATATTATTATATATAATACCTAACTAATTACATCCATGTACAAGAATAAGATTGGATTGGAAAAAATAAGTTGTGATCATACTTTTTTATTTAACATGCAGTTTTTTACCGCTAAATTCTTTAATTCCGTAATAAAAAAAATAAAAATATGAGAATTACATATTAAATAAAACATTATTAAGAAACAAGACGCTGACTTGCTATAACCTTTTTTTTTTTTTTTTTAAAAAAAAAAATTATAGATTAGCTTACACTATAAGGTCAAAGTTTAGTCAAATTCGAAAAAATAAGTTCATATTAGATAAGATTAGAGAATATAAATTCAAAAAAGATAAAATTAGCAAAAATAAGGTGAATCAAATATAGCCTAAAAAACTACTCTTTCAATAAAAAAATTACAGATTATATCAATGGATGTAAATCATGTTGTTCTTTCTACTTTAAATGTATGTACTCCATGGTTTATATAAAATTTCCATCATAAAATTAATAGTGAATATTCCTTATTAATCTATAATTAATTATGATGCTATATTGCTCGCTAGCTTATAGAAATATTTTCCAAAGAGTCAAAATAGACGATGATTGTAAGATCGTGGGAATATATCACAGTCGTACCCACGCGAACCACAATTTATGCGACAAAGATTAGATTTAGGTGATAACTGATAAGGTAAGGTAAATCAACTACAACATTTTCAACTACAATTTGATGAGGAATATAAATAAGAGAATCAAAGTGCGTAAAATCAACAACACCCAACTTTCAAACACATTCTAATTAACACAATTGAATCATGCTGCTAACAGTGCTATTTTTCTTCCCACTTTGAATTTCTTAATTATTTCTTCAATGCCGTCTTTTATTTTTGTATATTATCTTAGCTTGCTTGCTTAAGTTTCTTGTCTTTGTCAATATGTCTTGAATCATTATGTCAATTCGAGGGATTTAAAGCATGAATAAAACTTACCGACTTCGTGTTTTAGGTTGTGATACAATTTTTTGTTCAAAATAAATAGCTCATTTAATTTATCAAGTCTATTTTGTTTTTGGGAGTAATATATAAACATTTTAATGCTTGATTTTTTTTATTTTTTTTTAGTATTTAGAGAGCCACAAAGGCGGGGGTGAGAATCATCCCAAAATCTCCTGAAATCGGGGGAAGCTCTAACCACTTGAGCCACTCTCTTTTTTATGCTTGATTGTAATAGTCCATTTTCGTGGTCTAAACTACTCAAGATTAATGCTCGCAAAATATTTGCTCTTGTCTACTTAGATGTGAATGTTTTTTTTTTTTTTTGGGTGAAACACATATGTATATATGTGAATTAATTGTTTTATTTTTTTCTTATATATCACCACTTATTATTAACAGATGCAAGAAAGATAAATAAAATCAACAAATTAAATAACACACATAGAATTGCATGGTTCACCAATAACAATGTATTGACTACGTCCATAGGCAAGCAAGATCGAGAAAAAGTTTTGTTGCACTTGAGGAATACAAATTACAGGTGATCAAAATAGATTTAGAACGATCAACAGATTAAATTGAACAATCAATATATTCATAATAATCGCTAGAGACTAGACTCAAATATTACCTTAGATAGTGGATTGTTTCTTCATAACGAACACTAATTGTCTCGGATTGTCAAATGTTATTTATGGGATACGAGAGATACAACATGACGATTAAGAATAAACCAGAGGAAGATATACAGTACGGAGTACTCCCTAAGTAAAACACAAAACATGCTAAGGCCCAAACTAAAAATCATAGCCCGAATTGATTAGTAGTGAGCGCGTGGTCGAGGTGTCACTCATTTTTTCGTGCGCGATAGCGCGTCTTATTCAACTAACCATTGTGCTATAGTGCACTCACCTGCGAGCTATAGTTCCACCTCAGCAATTCTCTAGCAGCCTTCGAACGATAGCTCACTCTTTAGCAAGGCGTATTTCAACAATCATGCTCAATTGTTTCCACGTGTTTCATGACGGGTTTTTTGAATTAAAACAAGATATAATTAAATGGTCTTCCCACAGAAGTAGAGAAGAGCTTGACTTTTATATTAACCAAAGTTATAATTAGACCACTCTCAATGGTGAGAAAAAAAAAATGCCCACCTATTATCTCTGTACCTACTTTCTCTCTCCACAAATCTGTTTTGTCCATGAACAATTTTTTTTCACAATTTCTCTCCCAATGGTGAGCAAAAAAATAGCTTGCCCACTACTCTCTCTCTCTCTCTCTTACTTTTTCAATACCCCACCATTACTTTCTCTCTCCTACACAACACTTCTTTATTTATTAATTTCATTTATATTTTAACAATATTACTCCAAATAAATAAAAACTAGCCTAAATTTGTGTAACTTATTTTTTTTTATTTGTGTCGTTTTTATCGTTAAAATAAAGAATATGGAGGATTTATGGTATTCATGAAATTATACCAAAATGCATGTCTATTTATAGAAAGATTTAATTTTATGACCGTTGGTAATTTTAATTTTTTTTAAAAATAAATATTTATTTAAGAATTTGCATTATAAAATATATAACCATTGCAATTGTGGGGCCCACTAGAGCACTATTCATCTTCAAAAATGCTCAAGTCTTGGGTATTTTTAGAAATACTCATGAGCATTTTTTGGCTTTTTCTCATTTGCTCACCATTGTAATGCATGAGCAAATTTTATGCCCACCCAAAATGCCCATGAGCAAATTTTTAGCTCACCATTGGTATTGCTCTTTAAGAGTATTTTTTAAAAAATAAATAAATAATGCGGATTTGCTTTTATATATTTGCATGAGTGTAACCTACTTTATTTTAAACCAATTTGTTCGCATGGACCCATCTTAAAAATTTGAATTTAGTTTAATTATAGTGTTATAATACGTTGAATATAAAAATATCTAAAATCTACAAAGATATAAATAAATTAATAAAACATCAAAAGTAATTTTATGTCGACTAGAAAATCTCTATTGTAGATTTGTAGTGTAGCACCATAATATTGATTCATACTAGAGAAACCTAAAACCATGGCAACGACGTGATGGCAAACCAAAAACCAAACTAAAATAAATGATATGGAGAAACATGATCCAACGTGGCGAATGGAGAGATAGCTTTAATGACATGACATTTTATTTTAATTTTATTTTATTTTATTTTTGGCTGCCGTACGATGATAAAATAGGGATTTGGATATATGGAAAAAGTAAGTTGATAGGGATATGTGGAGAATAGACCAAGACAAACTCATGAATTCCAGTAAAATTATTTCATTTTACAGATTGGAAAGGTTTTTCCACTTCAATATTTAAAATTCCAATTCTACCCATGAATAATTTACATAATTACAAAATTGCCATGGCGCGTGATGGTAAAGAGAGTGAGAAAATGAAGAAAAGTAAAGAGAAACGTGAAGGGCAATTAGTGAAAAAAAAGGGGAAAGACATAAATGCACCTTATCCGTTTCTTTTATTGGTTGTTTCATTTTTTTTTTTTACAGGTTTTCTAATTGCGTGGTCGAGCAGCCGCATGCTAACTAGTGTCGGTTATTTTTATTTTCTCTCTCCTTAATTTTCCTTTTTTTTCTTTTCTTTTTTACTTTTGAAAA